TATGTGAGATCAGTCTCCATTGAACACCATGTGTGAATGCATGGTAGGGCGGGTCGGGTGGGAGACATGGAGCAGACCGGAGCCTGCTGAACGGACGGAGCGGGTAGATTGTAGGGAGTTAGCAGGTCAGAGAGGTAGAAGGGGGCAAGTACATGGATGGCCTTGAAAGTGAGGACGAGGATCTTGAATTCGATCCTCTGGGGGGGGGGATGGGAAGCCAGTGGAGTCGGGCGAGGGTGGGAGTGATGGGGTCATGGAGCCTGGTACGCGAGAGTACATGAGCTGCAGAGTTTTAGATGATTTGCAGCCTGTGAAGGGAAGAGTTGGGAAGGCCGATGAGGAGGAAGTTCCCGTAGTCGAACCTTGATGTGATGAATGCGTGGGTGAGGGTTTCGGCAGCCTGAGGGGTGAGGCAGTGGCGGAGTTTGTCAATGTTGCAGAGGTGGTGGTAGGCAGTGCAGGTCATGGCGCGGATGTGGGGGAGAAAGGACAGTTCAGGGTCAAACAAAACACCCAGGTTCCTGACTGGCTTAGTGAGGTTGAATGTGCAGCTGTGGAGGCTGATGCTGCCAGCGCCTGAGGCGCGAGCCAATCAGGAGGGCCCCGGTCTTGCTGACGTTGAGTTGGAGAAAGTTGGCCCTCGTCCAGGACTTGATGTCGGTCAGGACGCCAGTAGTCCTGGAGTTCAGGGTGGAGGCAGAGAGGTAGAGTTGGGTGTCATCCGCATACACGTGGAAATTTACCCCATATCTGCGAATGTTGTCACCAAAGGGTAAACTTCCACATGTTTGCGGATGACACACAAATCTACTTTGCCTCCTCCAGTACCAACTGCAGATCCGTCGATGCTCTATCAGCTTTTCTGACATCAGGGCCTGGATGAGTGCAAACTTCGTGCAGGTGAATGTGGACAATGTGGAACCCATGCTCTTTGTTTCCCATCTACGTCTTCACTCCTGCGGATCTAAACTCCTCAACCTCCCTGGGATTTCCCTCAGACTCACCGAGCAGTGCACAATCTAGGCATCCTGTTCGACCCATGGTTACCCTTACTCCCCCACATCCGGCCCCTCACCAGGACCACCTTCCTCTACTTCCAACACATTGCCTGCCTCCAACCATACCTTATCCCAAATGCAGCCAAAACCCTTGTGCACGAGTTTGTCACTTCCCGCCTGGATTATCCAAATGCACTCCTCCGCAATCTCCCCCGCTCCACTGCTCAAAAAATCCAGCTCATTCAGAACTCTGCATACTGACCCAGACCAAACTCCATGCCCCCATCTCACCAGTTCTGGCCAGGCTCCACTGGCTCTGTGTCATCGAACAGATCGACTTCAAGATCCTCACACTTGTGTTCAAATCGCTTGATTCACTGGCACCTCCCTTCCTCTCCGACCTCCTCACTTCCCAGTCCACCACTTGGCACCTCCGCTCGACTGGTACTGGCTTCCTGCTTGTCCCTTGCACACTCCGCTCCACCATTGGAGGTCGCACTTCCAGCCACTACGCCCCAAACCTTTGGAACACTCTCCCTCACTCCCTCTACCTTGCCCTCTCCCTCCCCTTTTTCAAGTCCCGCCTTAATACCTTCCTTTTCTCTTTGACCGAGCCTTCAGCTCCCCTCTCGACTCTCTTCCCCCTCCTCGCTCCCTTCCTTCCCTCCCCTCACCCTGACCATTTCCCCCCTCCTCGTTCCCTCCCTTCCCTCCCCTCACCCTGACCATTTCCCCCCTGCTTGGGTCATGACCCAACTGTGCAGCGCCTTGGGACGTCCTCCTGACGTGAAAGGCGCTTTATAAATGGAATCTTGTTGTTGTTGTTGTTTTCGACCATGCTTATGGTCACCTTCCCCCGGCTTGGAGTCAGGCTCTGCTATTGTTAAGCGCTCTGAGATGCTGCCGTGCGTGGAGGGCACTATATGAGTGTAAGTTGTCGTCGTCGTTTACATAATTAATAAATCATTATCATTGGTTATTGATTGCAGGGTTAAAGGCATTTGGGTTCTCCCTAAACATATGCATTTGCACATGGTTTACACAAGGTGCAAAATGAACCAAATGACCTCATGAACGAGCAGAGTGAGACAACATGGGCTGAACTTCTTAAAGATAACAAACAGCTGATGGTGTTATATAAAGTTTCCACTGACTTCTCTTTATAATGTGCCACAACTTACACCAGTGAAACGTCCTCCTTGACAAACCTCTCAAAATACATTCCCGATCGATCACGTCTAACATTACCAGAACCAACGATTGATCAAAATCGGTCCCCAATTATGGTGTGAGTCACATTTTCAACTGATCTGGTAGATAAATAGTACAGTGCAGCGTTAAAATGAGTCCAGTAAACACACACACAAAAACTTTTTCCAAAGGGTGAGCACGTTTCAAATTAACTTACTCAGCAAATAAGAAGTTTAACCGCATTCAGCACAGATTTGCTTCCCATTTTAAAGCAAGTCTGGATTTGCCCTCTGACAATTAGCAGAAGGACAACGGTTAAGGGAAAGTTGAAACACGAAAGGAATTCAAATACAGTCAGGAGTGACACAGGCTTTTTAATTTTTTTTCGATTTATTCCCCCCAAAAAATTAAAATTGGGGAGTTGTTTGGCTTCAAACTGAAATGAGTGAGTGAGTGAGTGATTGAGTGAGTGAGTGAGTGGTGCAAAATTGAGGAAAGAGAGCAATAATGGAGAGAGGAGAGAGTGAGTGGATGGATGTTGGGCGTCGCTGGAATTATTGTATGCAGATCGTCTTCAAACACCTCCAGGATTCCCAGGTGACGCCGTCTTCCTGACAAGGATTAACATCCCGAAAGGAAACGGGAACGTTGCCATAACCATAACCCAAAAGGATCCGCTCATCTTTCTCGAACCGCCAAAAACACAAAGAGCTATTTTTTTTTTCGCGGATAAAATACAAGATTGGGGGTATTTTTGTTTTCTCAATAGTTAATGCCATTGAGAGAGGGGGGGAATGAAAGAGAGAGATAGTTCACTGATCAGAAAGATCCGTTCTGTATCTTGGGAAGGAAAAGATGATTGATGTCTGCGAGTGTCATACGGCAGAAAGCTTGGAACTGATGTGAAAGTTTTTTTCAAGATTTAAAAAAAAACTTTGTGTGTGTGTGTGTGTGAAAAAAATATGACCTAATGATGTGACATCCAGTACTTGGGGCTGTGTGTTGGTTGACTGGCGTTCGTTCGCCTTGTGTGGGAGATTAGAGGTGTGGATGAGTTGTTGGCTGTGCCCCACATGACATCTCTGCGGATCAGTAGAGTCTGGGAAAGCGACCTGTGGGATTGACAAGACACTGGGCACAGGCGGACGGCATCACCAGCACAAGCACAAGCACAAGCTTGTCCTCCCCTCCTCGCTCATCGACTCTCACCCATGTGTTGTTGCATCGAGAGCCAACGAAGGTAAAGCAACGTGTCTGTAGGACTTGATGCCACGTTCCTCTGAGTAACACAGAGTAACCGGGGTACCACAACGTACAGACTCCGATTAGCTCCACTTTAACGTGGGTGGAGGGGGGGGGGGCAGCAAACACACCAACCTACAGGATCTCTCTTAAGGAAGCAGACTTATTAAGAGCTGTAAATCATAGGTTTGAAAGGGGGTGGGGGTGGGGGTTCAATGCCGGGCTGATAGGATATAACGCATAATTTATTTTATTATTATTATTATTATTATTATTCTAACGTGATCTGATCAGGGATGACCTGGACCAGGGCTGACTATCCCCGCACTCTGATCGAGTGGCTGCGAGACGCTCAGACACAGCCTCCGACTTTGCTTCTGCTGTCAGTTTCTCGGCGTGAATTTTTTTAAAAAAACCATGTCACTGATTTGAGACCGATTTAAAGCCGTTTGAGATGAGAGGGACACACTGGTCTCTCCAGACAGTATTTGAGTGGTTAATGAGGCGGCGAAAGAAGGGGGAGAGAGAGAGAGAGAGAGAGAGGGAGAGAGAGAGATAAACGCTTAAGTTGAGAACAATGCTTCTTTTCTTATGGCTCAGATCTTCCCCATAAGCAACTGTTCAGACGTGATTTCCACACAGAAAACCCGCCAACAGCTCTGGTTGCTTAGATCGACCAACTCTCGACACCCCCACACCCCCCCCCCCCCCACACACACACACCCCCCCCCCCCCCCACACCCCCCACCCACACACACCCCCCCCGCCATCCCCTGTCTCTCTCTCTGAGTTCTTTTTAAACCCATCTCCTCGCCCCTCTCTCTCTTAAAAAAAAGTGCTATTCTTCCTCTCCCCGTTTATTCGCCAACACAAAACAACAACAACCACCACCACCACCACCACAAGCACAAGCAGGACAACAAGTCTGTTTGTTTGCCTGGAAGGCTGTCTTGTGTAAGAGAGCAGAGGCCCTGTCTGGCGGTGATCAGCCTGTGTTGGTTTGCTGGCTGGTGTGTGTGTGTGCTGGTGTGTGTGTGTGTGTTGGTGTGTTGGTTTGCTGGCTGGTGTGTGTGTGTGCTGGTGTGTGTGTGTGTGTTGGTGTGTTGGTTTGCTGGCTGGTGTGTGTGTGTGTGTGTGTGCTGGTGTGGTGTGGTTGGTGTGTGTGCTGGTGTGTGTGTGTGTGTGGTTGGTGTGTGTGTGTGTGTGCTGGTGTGTGTGTTGGTGTGTTGGTTTGCTGGCTGGTGTGTGTGTGTTGGTGGGTGGGTGTGTGTGTGTGTTGGTTTGCTGGCTGGTGTGTGTGTGTGTGTGTGTGTGCTGGTGTGTGTGTGTGTGTATGTGCTGGTGTGTGTGTGTGTGGTTGGTGTGTGTGTGTGTGTTGGTGTGTGTGTGTGTTGGTGTGTGTGTATGTGCTGGTGTGTGTGTGTGTGTGGTTGGTGTGTGTGTGTGTGGTTGGTGTGTATGTGTGTGTGCTGGTGTGTGTGTGTGGTTGGTGTGTGTGCTGGTGTGTGTGTATGTGCTGGTGTGTGTGTGTGTGTGCTGGTGTGTGTGTATGTGCTGGTGTGTGTGTGTGTGTATGTGCTGCTGCTGTGGGCATGTCCGCTCTTTCTATTAGTGTTGAATGGTGTCTGGCAAATGACGTAATGGTTGAAGCCGGGGTCCTGACAAGCGATAACATTTGTGATAAAGGGCCGGATTGAGCTGGTGCCCCTTCTGTCTCAGACATATTAAACACACACATACATACACACACACACAGACACACACACAGACAGACAGACAGACAGACATAGGCATCGCGTTTGAACAACGAGCTCAGCCCGTTCCTTCCCCTCATTCTCTCTCTCTCTTTCTGCCTCTCTCTCTCTCTCTCTCTCTCTCCTCTCTCTCTCTCTCTAAAATCTCACTCTGCAACAACTCAGACGGTTCATGGCTCTCACCAAAGCTCCACCATCTTTCGAGCTGCAAAGATTATTACCATCAAATCAACAGGTAAGAAAGGGAGAAGAGGGGGAGAGAGGGAGAGAGAGAGAGAGAGAGAGAGAGAAAAGGAAGCCTGAGATTAAAAGCAACAAAGGTCTCAGCGATTTTTTTCCCCCCCATTCTCCCCGCAGAGGCTGTGTGTGTGTGTGTGGGTGTGTGTGTGTTGTGTATATATGTGTGTGTGTGTGTGTGTGGACTGCAATCGCTCGCAGTTTGATGTTGCACTTATGTTTAATGCAATGCGTTTGTTGTTTGTGTGTGTGTGTGTTGCTAAGTCGAAAAGGCGATCTCTTACGGTGGGGGGTTGTTTCCCCCTCCCCTCCCCCCAAAAAAAGAGGGCAAGACTTCTCAGATTTCACATGCGTTTGTATTTCCCCTATTTGTTGGGTCGGGAGGTCACTCGGGCAGACTTGACTTGAGAAATGGTTCCTTCCCGTACGTGACAGTAGCCTCCAGTAGCCTTTAGGGTCAAGTTTACCAGAGAGAAAGGATGATCTCAAGTACGTTTTGGATTTCCTCGCGAATTGGCGGTGTTTGGTTGGGAAAGTGATTTGCTTTGCGGGAGAGCCGTGTGTGTGAGTGTGTGTGTGAGTGTGTGAGTGAGTGAGTGAGTGAGTGTGAGAAAGAGAAAGAGAGAGAGAGAGAAAGAAAAAAAAATGGATCGTGCTAAAAGTGGCTTTTCAGTTCAAAGATGTCACAGAGTGAGAGATCTGGTTCTCGATGCATTTAGTTAGCGCCAAGAAAGTTTCTGAATGACGTGGCCGGAGTAGCGCGATGTAGCACATCCGAGTTGAGTGGTCTGTTCTCTTTATGTTGTCTGCAGAAGGCGCGGTTCCACGCTTTTTTAATGTGATGTCTTTTTAAAGATCCTCGAGAACAGAGAAAGCTCATTGCTTCCAAACCTCCTCCTCCCACACCCTCCACCCCCCTCCCCACCATCACCACCCCCCCCCCCCCCACACACACACCACCCCCACCATCACACACACACACACACACAACACAACCCCTCACCCCTTTCCCTTCCTCCACTTACTTCTCTCCAGACTACAAGTGGCGAGTGCTCTGCGGCCCAACCGGCGGGACCTGGAGGAACATGGTTGGGACTAAACTTTTTTTTTAAAAAAAAAAGTTGTGCTGAGAGTTTTGTGCGCGCCTGTTGTCTCGAGTGGAGTGAGTGAATGAGTGTGTTATGCGAGCGAGCGAGTGAGTGAGTGTGTTAACGCGGCTACTAGACACCATCCTCCAATGCAGTGGCTCAGCTCAGCTCCTCCAGACAGGAGGACTTTCAGTTTTTTATCTCCTGATGCGATGCCAAGTCAAGTTTTGAAAGTGCAGACAGAAGTAATTGTAGCTTTTGACTCAGAGAGGGGGCTCGCTGGGCTGACAAGGACACGGGAAGGCTGTTTGTTTTACGTTGCGCTTTCCACAGTCAGTAAAATATGGCCATCAGCAAAACGCGACTTATTACGGCAGTGAGTTTCGGACGTGTCTGAAAGTGCTATTAAAATGTTTCCTGCTGATCTAAACTGGATCCAACCACCGTGGTCAAAAAGCCGCCTTGCACTAAGGTGGTGCGTTTCATCTCCTTGCAACGTTTGACACATCTGGTCACTTTAGCCTTAACTTTGCAGCTCGGATACAGCTTAAAAATAAGCACTCGTGTTTCTCTCGGGTTTTTTTTCTCTCCATCCCCCCCCACTCCACCACGCGTGAAACAATGCGCATTTGTTTTCTGTTCGGCGAACAGTTCGTGAAACTTTTTAATCTTCGGCTGCACGAGCGAAGATGTTTTTTTTCTAAAAAAAAATGTAACCTCGCAATCCCGTGCGTTACTGTGACTTTGTGAACGTTTCAGCTCAATAAAGAGCTGGACTGCAATCTGCTGGAATTTATCGTTGCTGTTGTGGTGCCCTTTTTCTTTGGAGCATTTAATTAATAAACCGGTGAGAGAGTTGGCCGCACACTTGCGATCGCTTAACACATTCGTTTTAAAATGGGTTTCGTCCCTCAGATTTGCATCCACAGGTTTGATTTGATCAAACAATTCCTCGAAACCAGGAACACTGGCTCGAGCATGTTGATAACTTTTTTTTAAAAAGAAAAAAAGCCTCGAATATTTATTTCATTGCAGCATTTCGCAGAGGCCCGTCCTGTTCCCCGCTTTAAAGTAGTTTGGATTAATTGTGGGGGAAAAAAAAACTTTGTGGAAACTGAGAGCTGATGAAAGTGTGCATTGCTTTGAATGGGCCTGTGGGCTGGAAAGTGAATGTCACGTTTGCATTCACACGAATCACAAGCCCTATTGAAGTCTGATCTCTTTTGCAAGTCTTTGTGTCTTATCACAGGAAATGTTGCGGAAAGCAGTTGTTCAGTCGAGTTCCCAACACGTGTTGATTAACGATTCTTGTCTCCCAGACGTGATCGCTCCTTCCAGCAGACTTTCATTTTGGACAGAGAGAGAGAGAGAGAGAAATCGCAATAGCAATAGCAATAGCAAATTATATTTGAACACCTTGACATTTACAGCTGGGGAGTGTGGTACTATTGGCAGAAACAGATAGGTGTGTTAGCTTGGAATATTAATTCTGCTGTATGTAAGGAATATTGCGTAATGTTGATGTGATGATTAATGGCAGTTTGTACAGTGTTTAATCAGATAATGAATAGAGGCATCGCTGGGCCAATCGTTCGTGTGTGGAATGAGCAAGAAGTTTTATTGATTTACCTCCTGAAATCTGTATTCAACGGCAGTAGTCTATTAATAGTGTTGCAATAACATAAATAATATAGCCAAAATGTAATAACCGAAATGCGACCATATTTAAAATCCTTATCCACTCTGTTACAGAGATGTGACGTTTCGTTGTCTCTCTATTTTTTTTCGTGTGGGAGAAGTGAAAAGTATCGTTTCCTTAATTTAAGGTCCCAACTCTTGACTCATTCCCTTTTTTGGGGGGTAGAAGAGGGAAGGACATAACAGCGACATACAACTCGCTCTGTAGGATGAGGAACGGAGAAACTTTTTACTGAACACGATCGATTTTTAATGCCCATCGTGACTCGTCTGATCGTCGTTGATTCATCTGCTTTTTTTGTAGCAAAAATTAACACACGAGTCAACTAAGCAGTCGGGGAACCATCGTAAATCTTGGAAACAAGCTCTTTTTACGCCGTTTCTGCACCTTGTTTTCAGTGTGGTCTATGCGGTGAAATGATGCACTAACTTGGTAGCTCTGCACACATGGGGAATTCTCCTCCACTCTCCCATTCTCAGACAACGAGGGGGTTTGCTCTCACAGAGCTCAGATTTGAGTCCCACTCCTGGCGACTTGGTTTAGAAGCAATTAAGAGACTCGCTTAAGATTTGCTCCCAAACAGGGCATTGTCGGGAAAGTGCTCGTACGACACACCAGATTATTTATAAGTGGATCTGCCTGTGTATTTAATAAACACTCGACAACACTTGTGATAAACACAGTGGATGTATTGTTACTCTCCAGTGCCATAAAAAATACTGCGTATGTACATTCCAGAGCGCACTGTTGCAGAGAGTGTCAAAAGCAAAGGCCATGTCTGAGTGACTGGAATGATCTGTGTCACAAAAAGTGGAAAATGGCAGTTGTTGTTTTTTTTTCCGACTCGACACTGGAGAGATTTCCCACTTCAATGATCTTGACTTTGGTTCTCAACGTGTGCCGACTTTTTCAGTGGCAAATAATTGCAGCCACAGCGACTACGGCCAACATTCAAGCGAAGTCTGTGTCAGTTCCACTCTCAGAGGGTCGGTTTGTAAGACAACCGTAGAGAGAGATACAAACGAGGGGTTTGTGTCCCACGTTCAGTGGAGACGCGAGAGATGTCGAGGAATATTTTCAGAAAAAATAGCAAAACGCTTTGGAAGTTTGATCCTGCTTTCATATTTTTTAATGCTTAATATTAGTCGAACTCGACGTCTTTCGGAGTCTGTATTAAACTTCTTACACTGCAGATAGTCGCCGCTTATCTCATGCAACGCGCTCACTCTGATGCCCACGACGTCCTTTTTAGAAGGCTTTGCTGGAGCTTTACCAAAGTGACCATTTCTTTGCAGTTCAGGCTTGCTGTCAGGAAAGGTATTAAAGGATAATCACGAGCTGAATTCCTTTACTTTTTTTTTTGCAGGGGTACTTTCCCCCTAGGGTGTGTGTGGGGGAGGGGGGGGGGGGGGGGGGGGATGAGGAAACGTTGCTCGGGTTTAATAAATCATATTCTGTCATAATCAATACCTTGGCTTTGCAGCAGAAATGTTGCACGCCAGCTGAACGAATCTGCAGCAAAAATACGATGCATCAGTGAAGGAACGTTGATTCCATGTCACATAATGTCTGTGCCATTGGTCCCTCTTTAATTAAATGTCTTGATTATTTCGAGCAATGAGCGAGAATAAGGATTCCTGCACTGTCCTGGCGTTTCAGGGATGGAGGATGTTATTCTGCACATGTCCCACTGATTTATTAAAATCAGTACAGTAGCTGGAATATGTTAAGCACTCGCCACCATTGCTCTTGTTGACCCACTGAGCAGACAGTAATTGTTGAGGGAGGGGATTTAAATCAAAACTTGCAGTTAAACATATTGTCGAAATCCCTCCCACTCAATTTAAGAAACGAGAGCAAACAATGCAACAAGAGAGGGAGGGAGAGAGAGAGAGAGTTTTAAGAGTCAGCGAGGTATATAACAACAGTCAAAATTAAAACAAATAAAAGTCATGTTATTTTAGAGGTGTACTGCCCTCCTTACAACGGGAGATGTAAAATCAGCCAAACTGTCCAGCCTTGGGCAGCCCCTTTGCATTCTTTGTAAAATGCAAAGCTTTGACGTTCTTAGAAATCCTGCAGGTAATGCTGTGATCTGCTGCACTCTCTAACCCCCAAACGGACGCTGTCGCCGATTTTTCTGCTGAAACCTCTTTAATTCTGCTTCAGTTCTTCGAAACAATACAACCCTAAGCGATCACTCTCCCGGAAACTTTTACACGTGTAACAACCTTTTACAGTGAAGAGTCCCAGTTTGTATTTCAGTAACGGGGTTTGCTCAAACCTACCTTTAACGTATGCGTATTCATTATATGTACGTTATGCTTATGTATTCAAGAGGAATGCACCTATCTAAATGATATGTATCAATACATGCAAATATGCAAGGCTGTATATGTGCCTTTGCACTATTGGCATTTATTTGTACACCACATTATGCATGCGTTTTCACCAATACTTTTACAAATGAGTTTACTTTTAAATGTGTGTGTGTGTGTGTAAGAGAGAGATCGGGAGAGAATTGATTCTTAATGTGTGACACTGATTTAAGATTGACAGGTACAAGACTGAGAAGGGCACCACAATTAAAATGCTCTCAAGGAGACTGAAGAAAGTAAAACAGATGTGGTATAAGCTTGATTGCTGGTATTTGAAAGCTGCAGTATCATTTTTCTAAGGACTCCCTCCCTCTCATCCTCTTATGTTAAAAATTAACAATCGACTGATCCGAATATGCCTGGGCGGTGCTGTCCCTAAATACATAAGCATGAAAATATGCAAATAACCACAATAAAAACTTTAATACATTTAAAAAAAGATTTGGATGAAGCTGGAACACAGATTTAAAAGGGAACATACTTTAAGTATGATAAAATATGAATCCATGATTACAGAGGGTCTGTGAAAATAGATACTGCACTGCTTAACGTTTAACCACAAAGGGGATAGCATGTACTTTAAACAGTCTCAAATAGTTCAGTGATCTTAAAGGGATGTGTATCTTTTTTTTTAATATAGATATGGTCCGGAAAAAGAATCCACCACTGAGAAATCTCGTGAGCCAAGGGGAAGGTGAAGTTTGCCAGGTTCCTCAGTCAGAAGCTGCTGTGAACAAGGAGGCTGCTGAGGGCTCAAGACACCCGGATCCCATGCAGGAACACAACAACCAACAAGATGCACTAGACTCAATCAACAAGGAGGAACATTGTCTGCGTGTCACAGACGCAGCCGGCATCAAAAGTGACTTGAAAAGCCCCGCACTGGGCGAAGGGACTGGCTTCAATTATGAAAGCCACAAAAAGGGAGGAAATGTTCCATCCTTCCCGCAAGATGAGGTGACAGACAGAAATATGTCTGCTTTCTCATCTCAGGCTGCTGGTGGAGTCTGCGAGGCCTGGAAGTCTCCTGGCAGATCAGAACCAGATGATGGCGATGGCAGGAACTGCAATGCATCTGGGAACTTCTCGGAAACAAACCACGCGATCCAGGCGTCACCTAAGAGTGGGCTTGAGAAGGTCCAGCTGCTTCAGGGTGGGCCACCTGACCATCACACTTCAAATCCCAGCTCCGTGCCTTCAGAAAACTCTCAGGTGCTTTCAGGTGAGACTGATGCACTTGAAAAATCAAAAGCAGAGGAACTGACTGATAATCCAGATGAGGCGCCTCTGACTCCAGAGCTGCAAGACTTCAAATGCAACATTTGTGGTTATGGCTATTATGGGAACGACCCAACCGATTTGATCAAGCATTTCCGCAAATATCACCTAGGTCTGCACAACCGCACCCGCCAAGATGCGGATCTGGACACCAAAATCCTGGCCCTGCACAACATGGTACAGTTCTCCCAGTCCAAAGATTTTAAGAAACTGAGTCGAAACGCGGGCCTGCTTACGGGGATGTTACAGGATCTGAATGTCCAGCGGTCTACCATGTTAAATGGGACCTATGATGTACATGTAGGTATTCTGTCAGCTATTGCCATTGGATCCAACACCGCAGACAGAGGTGGTAACCATTAAAATATGACAGACGCTAGTTAATCTTAAGGAACCAAAATAAATCTGAGAGGAAAATCAATTTGTGTAATAGGAAATTAGGTCTACAATAAAAATTTGAGTCAGTGAAAAGGAAGATTATTGTGGGAATGATCCTATTAGAGATGGTCAGCAAGGGCTTTTCCTTATTCCCCGTATTTCAACTATGCACATATATATAATTCTGATAGAGCACAACAATAAAAGTAATTAATTTGGCTTTTCCATTTATAATTTTTACAGTAACAGAACAGATATATATTCTATTAATACACTTTTGTTTCAGCCCTACCATCAGTCTGCATTGAAATCAGCAGTCAATTAAATGTACATATTCATATATGAATTGTAGTAATTATTCAGCCTTGATCATTTTCAGTTAAATCCCATTTGTGTTTTATTGCAATAATTTGTTTGCTGAGTGCGGCTATTTGCACATTGGTAAAAGGCAGCATTAAAAACCAGTTCAATCCATTATTGTTAATGAAAAACTATCTCTGCTTGATTAATTTATTCTTTAAATATCAATTTCTCCGTGAGCTGCTTTTGATGTTCACTGCAGTTGGACAAGGCTGCCTATTACAAGATTTTAAACAGATTATCCAATGCAATTTTTTAAGGTTTCTGGCATGCCTTGTTGCAGCAGTGACCAATAGGTTACACGTCTCAGTTAAATAAATTAGCTAAGATATTCCAAATACAAAGAAACATCACAATGAAAGTAACTAACCTAACAGCCATTTAGATTTATCTGGAGCAAACTGCCTACTTTGGGAGGAAATTATTTTCCTGAGCCTTTGTGTCCTTTTGACATTAGTAGGTTTTAAGAGCAGCCTCTTAAGTTACCTTGTACATTTTATACACATGGTTTCTTCATAATAGAGTAATATTCTCTGAATCTCAGAAAGATTACAAACAACGGCAAATCACACCTATTTGCTGGATAGTAGTTCCTTAGTTATGGTTCGTTTTTCTGGCAATCTTCTGTTTCAAGTGCACATATTCCTGTTTGGCGTTTTGATTGTTTGTCTACAAAATAGTAGTTACTACCCTTTACAGTAAATCCTGTGAAGTACTTTGAGATGTTATTCTGATGTGAAAGGCGCTACACCAAAGGAGGGATTATTGTTCATTTGATTGTAATTTTCTCACTCTTGTTTAGTACAGTTCTAATTAATATATTCTACCTCCCTTAGACTTATGTTATGGCTAATGGGACCTGGAGACCAATTTTGAATATTGGCAAATCTTTTCATCCTATTTTAGAAATTGGAAGCGTGAGGAAATTCAAACATACTTTTAGATTTTTTTGCTTTCAGTTTTGTATATCCCTTAAATGTCTGTCCAAAATGTGTTTCAATGCAGTTTTCAGGGACAACACTGAAATGTCTCTATTTATGAAATTCTGCTTATTCAAACATACAAATTATGCAAAGAAATATACAAGCAATTTAGTCTTTACAAAGGGAGCCTGTCTTGAACACAATTATATGGGTATGGAGGTAAACATTTAAAATGAATTAATATGGAACTGATACCACTGGCTGAAAAGTAGTTTAAAGTGTACATTTAAAATGATTTTTCTTTGCTGATATTACATTTAAGTCAAATTAAGTTGTCCCAACTACAACATTTTGTCTCCCCACTTCCTTCTTAGTTGGTGAAGCTGTTTTAAGTAGACTAAATTATAAATTAATTGAATGCAGTTAAACAGAACTTTTTGAAAAATCTTTGCCCTGTATGCTACCACTGTTTTTTGTTAATGGCTGCAGGCACAATTATAAGGTTGCTGGTGCAGTAAAGGGCATCGTTAGCATTGCTGTTCGAATGAGAACTTTAACACTTTCCATGCCAGTAAACTAAAATTTTTGCATTGGAACAACGAATGCCTATCATATAGTAATGGAACAGTTAAACAGCGAATAAAGACATTTATTTTGTGAACTAAACCAAGTTGTTTACATTTATTTTGGCTGCACACTTCTTTCTTAGTCGGTGAAGCTGTGCCACTCTTATGTTTTTGTTTGCACATTTAAGAAGTTTAAATAGATAACAAGTGGTAATAGCAGTGCTATATATTAGACATATGATGTACTAGATCAAATGACTGAATAATAGGTGACATTGGTGGGTGGATGTAAACAGTGAATGTATAGGGTTTGAAGTTTTAATAATTGCACAATAACAACTTGATCTGTATTAAACCACTTGGCTTTCTTCTTCCAAGACATAGTGGAAAATACAGGTTCCTTGGAACTTGTGATACATTTTGGTTAAATCAAGTACTGAAATGGAAAACACATTTGTTTTTTATTTACTTTCAGGTTACATTGGGAGGAATGTTCATTGGCATTGGACGCAAAACACCAGACTGCCAAGGCAACACCAAGTATTTCCGGTGCAAATTCTGCAATTTCACCTACATGGGCAGCTCTTCTACTGAACTAGAACAGCACTTCATGTCAACTCATCCCAATAAAATGAAAAGTGTGCCTTCTGCTCTGGAATCTGGGAAAGATGCCAACAAATCCGAGAAAAACGCTAGTAAAGGCACCCCTGCAGTTGAGCGCTATTTACCTCGTCCATCAGACCCAGAGGATTTGGGGAAATGGCAAGATAAGTCTACCATCAGGGCAGAGGATAACACCCCCATTGGCTACTCTGTACCCATCAAATCCATGGACACCTCCAAACAAAATGGCCTGGACGCTACCTGTTACTTCTGGTGTAGGCTTTGCAGCTTCAGTTGTGAGTCTTCAGACAGCTTAAAGCTCATGGATCATTATAACAAGCAGCACGGAGAAGATCAACGCACTAGTTACTTTAACAGAGATTTTTCTGACAAAATTGCCAGCCAGGGACCTGTACTTAACCAGAATGACTCTTCGAAAGAAAGTGAGCTTAATGCAACTAATAAATCGGATGGGGAATTCTCTGCTAAAGCAGACAAAGGAATAGGCTCAGTCAAAAAGAAAGAAGCCACCAACTCGACTGAGGAAAGCATGATGACCAGCTACAACTGTCAGTTGTGTAAATTCAGGTACTCATTGAGTCATGGACCTGACGTGATCATTGTGGGACCTTTGCTGAGGCACTACCATTACAGACACAACGTTCACAAATGCACCATTAAACACTGCCAGTACTGCCCCGGAGGGCTGTGTGGCCCAGAAAAGCACCTTGGGGAAATCACCTACCCATTTGCTTGCAGGAAAAGTAATTGCTCCCACTGCGCTCTGCTGCTCTTGCACTCGTCCCCAGGGGCGGGAGGGAGTGCAAGGGTTAAACACCAGTGCGATCAATGTTCATTCACAGTTCAGGATGCAGATGTGCTCCTGCAGCATTATGATAGCACGCATAGCACACCCCCCCCAGGCAAGGCTGAGGAGGCCAACAGCCAGGGAAGTGATGGACAGGTGCCCGGCAAAGAGACTGAAGAACACTGTTGTACCAAATGTGACTTTGTTACCCAAGTAGAGGAAGAGGTCTTCCGTCACTACAGGTAAACAGACACTCACAAGCTAGAGCACTAGATGGTTAACAGGTGAAGCCACAATCTCAATCAAGAGGGAAGGTAAACTTTTAAGTGTTCAATTGAACCGCAGCACTGGACAACACAGTGTATTTAACAGGTGGTGAAAAGCAGTCGTTTCATTGGGTTTGTGAGAAAATATCTAATGAGGAAAGTGAGCAGATTTGTGACACTGGGCATTGCAGTCGGTTGTATCATGAGTAGCTCCAGATGAACAAAACAATCTCAAGAAAGTTTTATTTTTTTTTGGTGGGGAGGGAGGGAAAGGACAGACAGTGAATGAAACTGATTTGCAAATCTGTAGATGTGTTAATGAACGGTTTGTTCCAATTCCATGGTGTGAATTGATCAGTAAATTAGCTGTAATTTAGCCAAAGGATGAAATATTGCTCGCAGACAGCTACAGCTCCAAGTTGCAATTGCGATTCAGTTTGTACTTTAAAACCAGGAAACAGGATAGCAATGAAAAATGATGCGAGTCTAAAGCTTCAAACAGTTAGTTCCCAGTCGAGTATAACTTGACCCACATATAAATCGCATTTATGTGTTAGTTGGGTTTTGTTTTTAAAAAAATGCACACACTCAAACAACAACAATAATAATAAAGGAGGTGGGGAGGGAGGAGGGATTGCACTTGTTAATTTTGTTGATTATAAATGAATTGTTACTTTTTATTGATTTAATAATCAAGACATTGTTTGCTTCAGGAGGGCTCATAACTGCTACAAGTGTCGTCAGTGCAAGTGGACGGCTCCCAGCACACAGGCTTTGCTGGAGCATTTCAACGCGGCGCATTGCGCTGCCCCGGAGCCAGGCAGCGGCTCCACTGACACGGAGACCCCCCCTGCAACAGCCAACAGCCTCGGCCACGGCGGGGAGGGGGCCACGGTCACAGTGGAGCTGCGGCACCGCACTCCCACCCCATCGGAGAGCCAGCCTCACCCCCCCGCAGCGGCAGCAGAGGAGAGGGACGGGCGCAGCTCCGACAAGCGCTGGTCTGACTCCTCCAAGGAAGAGGCGAGGAAAACGTCCTGGAGCGTCAAGGAGAGGGCGGCCCCCGGGGAGCTGCACCCAGGGAACAGCCCCTTCCCCGGCCAGAGCGCGCTGCCTCTGCTCAGCACCAGCCTGGCCGCCAGCCAGCAACAGGAGACCCTCAAACCCCCCGCACGCAGGGCGATGGAAGAAGTGTTCGGGCTGCAGACCCCAGACTCCAAGAGCTTTCCCAGCGGGGCGTCCGTGCAGCCTCTCCCCGGAGCAGGAGCAGGAGGAGGGGAGAGGGAGAGGGACAAGCGGGCTCTCACCTCACAGTATCCCACAAGCACAGAGCTCAAGTCCAGAGAGGAGTCCCAGACACTGCTGCGGGTGAGGCTTGATTCTCTTCACACACTTATTTAACCTGTTGTCGCATGCCATCTCGTTTACAGGCAGCTGGACACTTACTGTAGGGTCCACAGGCAGGTCTCAAAACAGGAATCACAGCCCTGGCTGTGCCACCTTGGTGTGGAATGTCTCTTCCCCAAAAGAAGTCCCATACCTAGGTCTCACCAGATAGTTTGCTGGACTCTACCAGGTTCCTGCACAGACTAGGGAAAAGTAGGGAAGGCTCCTACTTTGGATAATTTTATTACTTGGATAAGGTGAGTCATTGGCACACCAGCCCCTGAGTTAATGTGGGATCCTCCTGTTCTGCAAACCTTGGCGGCACAACGGGTGACCTGTTGAGCTGTGGTGAGATATCTTGGCCTTGGCTTCTTCTCTAATTCCTCTTCTCTTTCTGGGTAAAATTGGGGTAGAGTTTACTATCCCCTTCTGACCCAATGTCTACAAACAGGTCTTGAGGACAGAAGCAATCGCCTTGTAAAATGAAAGGGATGTGTCATTGTGGAGGAAAGGAAACCAGAGGAGTCCTGATCACTGTACTACAATGGTGCTTCTGTCCTGTGTTAATAAGCAATTGTAAACCAATTTAACTAGCCTTTGTCATTTCAATGTTTGGAAAGCAAAAAATACCTTACTTGTTAAATACAGTGTTGCACCAAGTATCTAGTTACAGGAGTGTGAAACGGGAAATCTGGAGACAGTTTTATTAGAAAGTACAGCAGGAGAGTCCTTTCAAACAAATATATACCTCATAATTGGTACCTAGATGAGAAATTAGTCAATTTGGTGGAAAATATTGTTTCCAATCTGGCCTCTCTTGCTGAAGAACTGTCTTTTGTGACTATTATAGGTGCAAGTGACTTCTAATAGCTCTTAACAGAAGTGAAAGAACCTTTGTATTATGCTGTGGGATTGCTGTCACGTTAAAACTTATTCTGACATGACTGGTTCCGTATAGATCTTCAAACGTTAATTAACTACAGATGGATAGTTTTGATTTCCTTGTCAATTTGGACATCAGTACTGTAGTTATAATATAGGGTTAAACCGAATGTCGTTCATTCATAAAGTTTTTTTTTAAAAAAAAGCTCTACTCTTTACTGAACTCCATTGGGAACATTGGTCATTTGTTATATAGTGACCAATTTTTTATAGGGAAGCACGTAGCACCCTTTATTTACGGTACTTATGTGATCCTGCAATTGTGGAAATGATTCTTTTTCTAGTCATTTAACAATGCTGAATCCTTGTTTGTAGTTAACACTCTTGTTTGGGTCTGCAACATATCTCATCTATGGAACTCCTGCCTAAATCCTTATTCTTTACCAATGGAGTTCAGAAAAGAATAGAACTTTTTTAAAAAAAAAAACTTTATGAATGAATAGCATTCTGTTTAGCCCTATATTATGTGCAGGATCACCCTCCTTCCCCTTGCCCTCCACCCTCCCCAATCCCGACCGCCAGCTCAGGTCTGAAACACTGACTGGCCAGCAACTTGGGACATTCTCCCGACGTGGAAGGAGCTATACAAATGTAATTTTGTTTTTGCTGTTTATCCGATTTGAAATCCTACCTTAAAATGTGATAAAACTTTGACTGCACCTTTGGTCATCTCTCTCTTTCACCTTTCTCTCTTGGTCGGCGGCCAAACCCCACCACTGTGCAGTAATCCAAAACACCATCTTGTATGAAAGGCACAATATAAATGGAAGATTGTGTTGTACACTTTTCATTTATGATGCTGACCATGTTTGTCATCTCACTCATCGGCAGGCTGCTTGATCGAGAACATACGTCAGAACAATGTGTGTCAAATTTGTGCCTTGTGGTAAGGCATGGGTGGAGAGAATCATAGGTCTTTAACACGTGGTTTAATAATAGTTAACATTGACTTTACAGATTGAGTCTTATGGATTTGGACAACAGATAACCAAGCTCCGAATAGCAGTTCAGTTCAATTAATCTTTATTATCGGGACGCAAAATTACAGAAAAAAATATAGTTAAAGACATAGTTACCTATTCTGGAGAACAGAGATACAGTGGCTTCAACACTTTCTTCCCCATTCAGTTCTAACAAGCAACTGCTACACTGGCTGCATTTATACCTGACTTGTTTACTCAAGCCTTCCTTCAATTCTGACCACAAGGCCATCTGGTTTGTCTCACAGATACCGTTTTCTTGTTTTACTTCTCACATAACAAAGACCATCTATTTGCACATTCCTTTTCTACATGACTGCACCAGGAAAAACAAGGACACTAGATAAGGAAAAGACAGCACATATTAATCAGGTCTAGCAAGATTACATAGGTTATCAGCAAGATTTACAGCAATACAACATTATAATGATCAACATAATCAAGTTTCATTAATCTACAGTTATTAATCATCCTTTTGAAATAACGCTTTAAATTCGGGAGGACTTTGCAAAGTGCTTCATAGGATTTACTGTAAAGTGGAGTGACTATTTTTTGGGTGAACAAGGCTTGAAGGATTATCAATTCACCTGTCATAATATTCAATGGTTTTCAATTAGATTTAAGGACTCGGGTAATTGCTTCTGTATGCATAGTTTACATCACTTGCAAATGAAACCCCAAAATACAACTTTTTACTGGTAAACTGGTAAAAGTCAGATTTTAATCAAGGTGGATTGAGGTTCTAGCACTCATTAGAATTTTATGATGCATGACAAATGTGGAAATTATAGCATGTTTATTTGCAGGAAGCAGTTAGTTACTCTTATAAAGTCCAACAACAACTTGCATTTATATGGCACCCTTCATGCCGGGTAGCGTCCCAGAGTGCCTAACACTGGCGCAGTTTGACACCGAGACAGAGGGAGGGGAAATGTGACCATAAGCACAATCAAAAAGGAAGGTTTATAGGTTGGGATTTGAAAGTAGAGGGCAAGGCAGAGGGATTGAGGGAGAGAGTTCCAGAGTTTTGGGGCATAGTGGCTGAAGGCACGACCACTGATGGTGGAGGGGACGAGGGGTAAGCAGATCGGATAGGTAGGGGTTGCCAGGGCATGAAGAGATTTGAAAGCGAGTGAGAAAGTAGTTGGTTTACCTTGATTTGTCTTAATTTAGCCCATGTCAGCACTGCTTGCTGTGATCTCCCAATTATTTAACTTGTAATTAGTTAAATTCATCAAGAAGATAGTTGTGAGTTTTATTGTTTTATTTTTCTGTCCCTTGGATGAGGAATGCATCATTTATGAAATTGTTTCACTGTTTTGTAAGTTGTGAAACAATTTTGGGGGGAAATGCTGTTAAAAGTGCTAATCTTTGAAATGGCAATTTTCACTCAATGGGGGTTCCTCATTGTTTTTCTCCCTGCTTCTTTTGGTTTGCTTGAAAATTTGTGTTAAAGCAAATAGTGAAATAGAAATATTGTTAATTTGGACAATTAAACCCAGCAGTGTGAGGGAGCTGAGTTAACATATTTAATTCCTGATAGATTTGGGGAAAATGTCTCTAGATATTGATTCATCTCCTGTGCATTGCCAGGCTCAATTTCTGTAAGATTGTTCTATGACAGTAACACTTCCTGCTTTAACAAATGCTAAAGGAAAACTTAACAGCGTTGGACAAAATAAACTGACCTTAAAGTTAAATGTATTTTTTAAAAAAGTGAGACTTCTTGGAAAATCGCAGAGAAGGTAGCTGCTAATGTTCAGTTAGAAACAAATTTGAACTTACCTCCCATTTCTTTCCAAGATCATGGAAGAGATACATAATCATAAAAACACACTGTCTGTAGTGAGGGCAATGCATTGTAATAAAGTTTTAGTGAAGCATCCAGCTCAGTGAAGAAGTTTTTAGAAAGAGAGGGGTATTCTGAAACTATTTCCTTGTCATTTTTCATTGTAGTGTTTTGAAAATGAGAAGGTGAATCTTATTAAATGGAGACGAGATTCAGGGGAAAAGCTCCCAAGTATAATTGTATTTTATTAGAACTTTCCTTTGCTAGAAAATTTCTTTAGCCATGCTTTATAATAATAATAATAATAATCCTTGCATTTGATATAGCGCTTTTCACGTCGGGAGGACGTCCCAAAGCGCTTCACAGAACACACTGTAAAGTGAATTGACTGTATATTTGTGGGCGAACGCGGCAGCCAATTGCGCACAGCAATGTCCCACAAACAGTCGTAGATTGAAAATGACCAATTTAATTATTGTTTTTTTTTTGGAGGGATTATTATTAGGCGTGTGGAGTAAGGAAACTTGCCCAAGGTTTTGCCCTGCCTGGAATTGAACTCAGGTCTCTCACTTGCAAAGCGAGTGCTCTAACCACTGAGCTACAGGACTCCACAAAGTGGAGCTGTGGGCGAGGGGGGTGGGGTTTCTTTCTAAACCCTGAAAAGTGTGAATCTTGTTGAAAATAATTTGTGAATTGGCAGGAACAGGATGTGCAAGTCTCTTTTTTATTGCCTGTCATTATAAGTGTCACAAGAAGCAGCATGGAGAGAAGCCCATTTTCAGAAAAATTCAATTGTTTATTGCAGTCACTTTATATCCAGCAACTTAAATTTCTGCCAGTGACAAATTAATGATTGAAAAGAGTCTATGCTGACAAATAGCTTCTCATTAATGATCACCTCCACTTAGTTACGATTATTTTTTACTGTTACACTTTTTATACTTTAACCAAAGAATATGGGTAGGAAAACTTATTTTGGTTAGAAACGTATAATAAACTTATTTTGGTTAGAAACGCATGGCTAAAATTTCTATCTGGGTCCAGATTTACTCTATTTTTGTAGCATTTCATAGCATCTAGAATTTGGCATTAATTTTGAAGCTGTCAATATTGCTCAGTTGGTGACACTCTTGCCTCTAAGTCAGAAAGCCATCGGTTCAAGCCCATGTAGGTATTTTGAACTTGCTGCCTATGCTGACACTCCAGTGCAGACAAGGGGATGTGCTACTTTGCTGGAGATGCTGTCTTTCCAATGCAATATTCAATCAAGT